GGCACGGAGGGCGGCGGGAAGGCTCCGGCCCCCTTCCCTGCCGGGGCCCTGCAGGCAGGCGCCAGGTGCCTGCGTGCCTGAGTGAGGGGACGAATGAATGAGTGACGCCCCCTATTGGAAGGGGGCCCAGCCCCTCGGAAGGGGCCCTCCGGGGTTCTTGGTGGCGCCCTGCTTTCGAAATTGGGTCTCAGCAGTTGGGTTCTGGGGTGTCCACTTTGGTGAACAGCGGCCCACCCCGGAGAAGGGCCCTGGGGCCAGCCAGTCCCCGGGTGTGTGACCCCGGAGTGGAGCCCCAGCCGGGCTGCAGCTCCCGGGACTGGTCTGGCCTGGTCGCAGTCAGTCTGGTTTTGGTTTGATGACCCTGCCCTGCCCTGCCCTCCCTGGTGCGAGGGGTGGCTCCCCACGCAGGCATGTGGAGGGTTTGAACTCCAAACAGGCCCTGCTGACTGTAAATACTGGGGCTGTGCTGGCGGGGCCGCGCTCTGCCTGGGCCTGCCCGCCGGTCACGAGCTGCTGAGTGAGCCCTGCCCTCCCCGTCGTGTGGAGGAAGGGGTCAGGTGGAGAAGTGGTCTGGACTTCCCCTTCCCGCCCGGCTGCTCTTTCCACATCCCTGGGCCTGCCGTGTCCTGCACCTCCCCGCAGGCAGCTGGCCGGCCTCGTCAGCTCTGGCCAGCGGCCGGCCTCCCGGGCCTCGACTCCAGCCACCTGAGCGTTGCTGTGTGGAGGCCTGGATGCTCCCGCCGCGTGCCGGGCCCTGGGGGAGACCAGTGAGCAGCGCCGGGTCCGTGTCCAGGTGGACCTGAACCCTGGCGGTCACCACGCGCGGCCCCTTTCTGTGCCCGGCCTCCCTCAGTCTCCGGTCTCCCCTGCTCCTCTCCCTCCGAGGCTGCTGGGGCCTTCAGACGGGAGCGGCCACAGGACTGAAGGCGGGAACCACTGGGCGCCGCTGCTCGGGCAGCCGGACCAGCCTCTGACTGGTTTCCTGCCCCTTGCACCCTTTTTCCCAAGACGTGCTCGCCCGCCTCCCCAGACAGGCTCTCGGGTGTGGGGCGCTGCCAGCCACCTCCACGCCGTCCGGCCCCCGGCGCCGACTGAGCCGGAGCACATGGCGCAGCTGTCTCCCCCTCGTGGGTGACTGGCGACAGACCCCTCGTCTTCCACGAAGCTGTCAGTTTCTCCTCTCCCCGTTTTCCGACTTCCTGCTGGGGCACCCTGCGCTGTGGGCGTTCCCAGAAGTGCGGCCTCTGCTCCGGGCCTGTGGGCCTGGCGGCCCAGCTGCTCTCCCAGTCCAAGGGGCCTCCTTTGGGTCCTCTCCGTGCCCCCCAGCCGCGTGGTCAGCTGGAGCCAGTTTCCTCTCCAGCCTCTCGGGCCTACAGCCGGATGCCGAGTTCTGGCGACCAGTCTCCAGCCCGGCACCACGCTGTGCCCTCTCTCGGGTCAGGAGTGTGGCGCTGGCCCTGGCGCAGACCGGCCTGCAGCAGGAAGCCCGCAGATGCCTGACAGGACAGTTCCGGGAAAGGCTTCGGAGAAGGGCCCCGAGCCCCGGCTGCAGGCAGCGTGTGGGCTTGGGTGTCTGGAGGCCATGCCCCACCTGCCACCGCCTCGCCCCCCTCAGCCCCTCACCTAGACAGTGAGACCCCCTCCCCTGCTCTCCAGACCTAGCCAGGGGTTGGGTGCTCGCGCCGCCTCTGGCGCCCCCTGCCGGTGAGCACAGCTAGGCCGCCTGATGGCGCAGGGAGCTGCCCAGGGTCGCAAGGGGTTGTCCTGGCCCTCTGCTCTGACCCCTGCTCCTCTGGGCAGCTCCCGGGCCTCTGGGAGGCTGGCAAGGGCCAGAAGAGCCCCGGGGCCCCTGGCTGCCCTGGGCAGACTCCACTAAACAGCAGGGAGCTAGGAGGAAGCGCAGGCTTCCAAAGCCCAGCGGACGCGCCCTGGTGTTCATGGTGCTGTCTCCGAAGGCCAGGCCCGGCCTCAAGGCCAGGGTGCCCCCAGCAGGTGTCTCTGGGCCAGGGTGGTGCGGGACAGAGCTTGCTAGGTTGGCTTCCCACTACGTGGCTGCAGTCCCCAGGTGCTGCGTGCAAGCTGACCTGGCCCGGGCCCTTAACCCTACACACACCCCCACTCCCCCCACTGCTGGCTCCTCTGGGTGGGGCTGACTGCAGAGCAGCACTGGACAGAGGGGTGGCTGTGAGTGCCCAGGTGAGGCTGCTCCTCCTGGGGCCCTCTGCTCCCTCTTTCCTGTGGTGACCCTCGTGACGAGGGTCCCACAGCCCGCCCTGGACCTGGCCTGGGCTCTGCTCACCTCCTCTCCCTCCACAGCCCTGGGCGCCGCCTATGGTACGGCCAAGAGTGGCACAGGCATCGCCGCCATGTCCGTCATGCGGCCAGAGCTGATCATGAAGTCCATCATCCCCGTGGTCATGGCAGGCATCATCGCCATCTACGGGCTGGTGGTGGCCGTCCTCATCGCCAACTCCCTGAATGATGGCATCACTCTCTACAGGTGGGTGCTGGGTCTGCCGGGACCCGCCCAGGCCAGGCTGCTGGACCTGGCGAGGGGGCTTGGGCCGGGACTGCCACTGACCGTGTCTCCCTCCCCAGGAGTTTCCTGCAGCTGGGCGCGGGCCTGAGCGTGGGCCTGAGCGGGCTGGCGGCCGGCTTCGCCATCGGCATCGTGGGGGACGCCGGCGTGCGCGGCACCGCCCAGCAGCCCCGGCTCTTCGTGGGCATGATCCTGATCCTCATCTTCGCCGAGGTGCTGGGCCTCTACGGGCTCATCGTCGCCCTCATCCTGTCCACAAAGTAGCCCCTCCCCGAGCCCACCAGCCACAGAATCCGATGTAAAGACCACCCTCCTCATTCCAGAACGAACAGCCCGACACGCACGCACGGGGCCGCGCCCCCAGTAGCTGGTCTTGTAAATGCGCCGTGTCCCAGTGCCCGTCGTCTGTCCGGCCTTGCCCCCGCCCGCCCGCCCTCCCGTGCGTGCCCCTCCGGGCCCCGCCCGCCGCCCGCCCTCCAGTGCTCTGTGTATAAGGATGCTTAGAGTTGTCATTTTCTCTTCACTGGATGTTTATTTATAAAGATTGACCTGTTCGTGCGTCTGGAGCACCTGTCTCCAAGCACATAGCCCCCTCAGTAGTGTCGCGTCGTGGGGTGACGTTCGCTCCCGGACTCCTCGGCCCAGCCACCCTCCGCCGCGGGCGGGCCGGGCCTGCGGCCGGCGCCGAGCTGTGTCCAATAAAGTTCTCGGATGTGACCGGCCGC